AAGTGGGGCTCAATCCCAGGACGCTGAGATCATGACCTGAGCCGAAGGCAGAGGCTTAACCTGCTGAGCCACCCAGGCACCCAAGTTTCAGGGATTTCTGCATGCATCACATAACACATATCCATAAAAGACTTTCATTAGTCTCCAGGTAAGCAGGTAATTTAAAGATGATTAGGAACTTTTATTTTTGAAAATATGGTAGGATAGTAGTTCAGAAAGATTCTCCCAGAAAATAATACCTACAAATATGAATAAGTTTTTGTAAAATGATATATTTCTGTATTACTTGTCTGAACTGATGAAAAAGACAAGGAAATCTTAATGGGCAGATAGCAAGAAGGTATAAATACAAAGAAGCAAGCAAGTTCCAAAATCATTGTTTGTCCTGAGAGCATATGCCACAGCTGGTGGTCCACACCTGCATGGGCTACATAGAGACAAAGCCTGGAGTCTATGCAAGGGAAGATACAAGAACAACAGCAACAACAACAACAAAAATCCAACACAAAAGCCTCCAAATGGTGATATCTCAGTAAATGAACTGAGAAAGAACATTCTAAGAAGGAGATTGAAGCCAGTCAAGCAACTGTGAATGGGCATCATCAAAATAATCGGACTCAAAATATTGTAGGTTTTGAAAAGGTACATACAGACCCTGAAGTGAACATCAGTCACATGTTTTGAGAAGCAAGATATCAAGATTACCAAGAGGACAAGAAATTGTTCAAAAATCACCAGATACCTGTAAAAAAAGAACCAAATAATGAATCAGGAAAGGCTTTAAACAGAATATAGTACAGAGACAAAGAAATTAAAATATATGACATATAGGGTTAAGCAGAACAGAAGATCAAGAAGGTAACTGAAGTTTCGGATGGAGAAAGAGAGTAGAGAGAGAGAGAGAGAGAAAGAATGTAAGGAAACTGTTGAAGTGTTAATGAGTTAGACTTTTCTAATATTACAAAGGAGATCAACTTTTAGCTTCAGGGGAGTCCCAAGTGTAAAAAGCCTATCCAGGTATATTGTCAAACATCACATCAAAGATGAAAAGATCTTAAAATAGAAACAAGATAAAGTAACCCCAAACAAATAAACATTAAACCAAAGTGGACCTCTCAGTAATAATACTGGAAGCCAAAATAATATCTTTAGAGCTCTGAAAGTAAATTCAGAAAGAAATGAAGCATCAGCTTAGAATTTTATACTCAGTAAAACTATCTTTTGGGACTAAAGATAAAATGAAATGAAAACCTTTTTTTTTTTTTTTTTTTTGTATTTCAAGGAAAACCTACTTGAATATAGAATACTGGAATTTGAGACATAACCCAAATTATAAAAATAATCTCTTACATTTTGTTCTGCTTTGTAATTTACAACATTCTTTCACATTTCTTTTCTTGCTTGAGCCATAGCAATGTGGTGATGCTCTTGCCCCAAATAAGAAGCTGTGTTTTTCCAAAATTTGAAAAACAAGTTTTATTAATTAACTTTAAAATGACAAAAAAAATATGTAATCAATCTAGCTGACTTGGAAAACACTGAAAGGGGGAGAAATAAAAATCATCCAATATCTCATTCCTCAAAGATAACCACTGTCAGTTAATATTTTGCTCCAAAACCTTCCTATAATTTTTCACAAAGATGTCTTTTTATGTGTTCTTTTCCCTTGAAAATAGATCATAAGCATATTACTATGCCAATCGTTTTTATTCTATTATGTTATTTTTTTTTAATGATAGATAGCATTTTTCATATGAATCTTGCTTAATCATTAAAACACTATTTAGCTACTGTGGTAGCCTGGATTATTAAACAGCAAATGTTTGCTTCCCTCCCCTCCTACAGCAGATGATTTTCTAACACTGTCGATTTCAAGCTTAGCCATGGAACTTATTTTGGCCAATGGAAATTAATGAATTTTATGCAGAAATGATAATTGTCCTTGTCCAAATTGGTTTGGGTCTAATGTTTTGATGACTCACTATAGATAGCTGCTGGTCCTTTCTGTTTGGGACCTCCAAAAAATAAGCACATCTGGAACAAATCTGAACCCAAACTGGACCAAGTACTGTCACCACAGAGCAGCCCACTCAAGCCTGGTCTAAATGAGCCAATCACAGTTGATCTGCAGACACATAAGCATTAGAATAAAGGCTTGCTATTGCATATAACAGACTGTGGAGATGCTTTTTTGCATGCATTATTGTGTCAACATCTGATGGATACAACTGGAATTGAACACTGAGGTTGTTTTCCAGTTTTGCTTTTATAAATAGTGCTTCAATAAGCATGTCACTACAGCTTTCTAAAAAAGTGTAATTATTTCCCTTTCACTGAGGAAGAATCTAGGATTTGGTTTAAGTGTGTACCAATGGTACACAGCTATTAAGGGCCAAAATATATGAATCTGCATCTTTCTGATGCGAAAGCCCATGTTCTTTATAAGATACTACATTGCCAGTCACTGAAATATGTTCACCCTTTGGGATAAATGCATATTAAAACAAGTCTGGTGTTTTATAATAGCACAGAAATGTTTTGACTGACAATGTAAGTATTAACTGATTTTAGTCTCATTTTCATTTAAAATTAAATTTTGCACTGAATTCTTGTTACATGAAACACTAGAGTCTCTATATCTGTCATTTAAAGCAACTTTAATTTGGTACAATATGTCTTTTTTTTTCTGAAACCAGACACTGAATCAGACAATAATTTGTAATGGAAGTTGTAGGTTCAATATGAGAATAAGTGCCTTACTAAAACTTCTATTTCTTAATTCCCCTCTTTAAAATAAGCAATGTTTTCTTACTATTACTGAGGTTTAATTTATATTTTCATAAACACACACAGTGAAATAATACTTGAGAGAATGTGATGGTACTTTTTATTAGAAGTCAGTAATATTCACATTGTTCATGTGGCACAAGGATCATAAGGGAGTAATATACATCTTATGAATAAGCAGACAGGCAAATCAGTAAATGCCAAAAGAAGCCCACATTCCACTTAACGTTTGTTAAGTTAAACATGTTTGATCTTTACGTGGTCCATTTAGAATTAAGGGTATGTCTGTAAGTCAAGAGAATACCATTTTTTTTTTTCAACAAACATCTAACTTGACATCATGAGCCCGAAAAGTAAAATGAATTTAGTTAGAATAATTCCAAAAGGCCAAAACCATTTTTCTCATAAGCCTTCTCTATGGGAGATATAGATTTTTTTTAACTTGGAGGTCAAGGGATATTATTGTCAAAGGGAGAGATTATGGGGGATCAATTTGCAAATGCAACCATTTCTGTATATGGCCCTTTTGTTACATGACTACAGATATGTACGTAATATTTTGATTGGCTGGATTCAGTCACAAAAAGAGAAGTCAAGTTAACTCGGTGAAAAATGCAGATCAGCTCTGTCTTTCATAAGCAAAATTGCCTAAAATAAAAGCTAACAGGTCATTTCTAAAATGTAACATTTGTTGAAGTGCACACCCAATATCTTTGAGCACGTACCCAAAAGATGATGACACAAGAAGGAATGAAATGGAAAATGAGAGACATAAATACATAGTCCTGAAAGCTAGCAGAGGATGAGGTCATTGTCAAATTAAATCTTTTAGAGAAACTTCATCATATCTTTCAGTCGTCTTAAAGGAGAATTAAACAGAGAGTAGTGATACTGGGTAGAGGTAGCAGTGCAAAAGCAGAGTAAGAGTATGATGGAAGGATATAGGTCTGGTTTCGATGCATCATGTAGAATCTTAAGAGTAATAATAGCTAATAAGAGAAAGGTAGATTGAATGTCCATGAAGGATTATTTTATGTATATCTATATCTGAGTATGAATATATATGTGTATATCTCTCTATATCTATACCTACATCTAATGAGCTGGAAGTTATCTTTCCATATAATCCTTAAAATATTATCATCATGAAGGCTTCTGCATGCAGATTTCAGAATTTTCTGAATTTCTTTCTTTCCAGAGCAACATTGCATCCATACCTTACGCATATCAATACTATGACGGGGAACTAACTGGCACCAATGAAACAAGGCACTGATGTCTTAGCATTCAGACTCCTCAAGCAAACATTTTCCTTTAAAAAGTTCCATTCAACAGAAGCTCCTCCATATTAGCTTTATTCACTCTAATGTGTTAGAAACATGTGGGGCCAGTATGGGGCTTGCAGATGTATCCAACTCCTCCCCAAGAAAACTCATGCTGAAGGGTGTAGTCCTGGGTGATGATCAACTATTTCTCAGGCCTTAGAAACTGCTTAAAAACCATTGTTTACTCACTGAACATCCAAGATCCTGCATGTCTGTGGCATTTCTCTTCACCACAGGGATTCTCAGATCTTCTTGGTCCATGAATTGCCCATAAAATGATGTCATAATGAATGCATTGAGGAAGCACTGTCAGATGGTGCTCACAAAGATTGGATAAAATCACAGGACTGTCAAATGCTTCCCTGCATTCCCAGAATCAGACTTGGATAGTCTGTATCAGCCAGATGTGAACTTAATCCACTACAGTCAGCTAACTTTGGGATGACTCTACCCCAACATTGCTGACCATAATTATTTCCTGCTGTAGGAACACTACGCTCACTGCATGTGAATCTTTTGTTAGTTTTCCTATATTGGCTACCATGTCAGGTTAGTTTTCCTATATTGGCTATCATGTCAGGTTTTTGTTCAAAGTATGAAATCTATAAAATCTCTATAAATGTAAAATGTTAATTAGCATCCCCAAATTCTTGCTCTATGGTGTTTATCTAGAGAAAGACTTCTCTTTCAGTATTTGTAAAATATTACTTAAGGTCTCTGTTATAAGCCCAAGAAACTGATTCCCATGGACAATCTAATTCAGCTACAAACCACATGACTAACCACATCCTACTTCATTTAGCACATACATGGAGGGCAAGAAAAGGTCCACTCCAATCAACAATAAACACATGGTGCTCACCTCCAAAGTCTTCCATAATTTTTGAATACTGCTCTCATTCCTCCTTTCTCAACAACAAAATGGTATGGGGATATATAATAAACACAGGTTTCCTCAAAAAGAAGAAATTTTTTATCCTGTCAAGAAATTTACACTATGGGAAAAATACTTTTTGACATTTGAGTTCTACCTAAAGATTCATTAAAGTTTCACGTCCGTGAAGGAACTTGGTGCATCCTGTTATACAGCTAGGTCAAAGTAAGACCTGATGTTGTCTGCGTGGCTGATGGCTAGTGGCTGAATCAGACATTTCAGGCTGAAATGAATTCTTCTGTGCTGTCTCTTACTTGAGAACAGTGGCTCACACACTTCTTTCGGTGACACAGCAAGCAACAGCATGTATGTGCTTCATATGTGGGCATGTGTGGATTTTCACATCTCCCACAAACTTTCAGAACCTAAATATAGTGAAAGACTTTCAATTTTATTGTGCTTTATATGTGGGAATTGCTCAAGGTCCAGTTCAAGTCAGAATCCCCACAGTTGTTAAGGACCCACCAGCAGCAGTCTCTCTCACTTGGTTGTCAGAGGAACTGAGGTGAAAGGGCTGGTCTTATTGCCACACTCCATTCCATTTGTTTAATCTCTACTGAAAAATCTGTGTGTGGGATGGATAAGTGAGAAGACACAGGAGATATATTAGAAACCTGCTCGGTCTGATAATGATATAATGCAGATATAAGTTTGTTAGAAACAACAAAGACTGAGGGAAATTGGAGCAGTGATCCAGCTTGAGTTGAAGAGTTCCACATCTGGCTTCTCAGCCAGTTTCTCTTAAGTCTGGGACATCACAAGTGCCAGTGAGAAGCTGAGAAGATCTGTTAGTTGTCTGTATAAATGTGTCACTGATCAGAAAGGTAAGAAATGGTTGATACGGGCTTTGGGACTCTCGATATTATTTTGGCCTGAACATAATTTGTACTCTCTCCCTCTCTCTCTCTCTCCTGGAACCCGTTCTCCCTTGATCACTTCAGATCTAAAGATTCATTACATTTATGATTTTTGATGAATTAGTGCTACTCTGGGATTAAATGATGGGGGCTGGATTTTCAAGCGACTTCTTTGTCTGTAGCAGACCCCTGTAAAAAAGCTGATTGGAGAATATCAATGCATGGGACCCCTGTTTCAGTCACCTAATCCTGTGAAGTACAAAGCAGCTTTTCCACACCCCTTAATGACACCACAGAGTAGACTCTTAGAGATGTATGTACTCTGAGAGGCCACAACAAAACTTCTGGCTTCAACTGCACAATTATGCATGCTTCTTCCCGGTGGCCTTGCCCCAACATAGGAAACAGATGCTGGTGAACTTCATGTTAGTTTAAATTTCATAATTTCAATACAGAGCCTGACTACCCAAATTTATTAAAGAGACTAGTCTATGGTAAAAGCCCAACTGATTATCATAGCCACACATATTTTGTGTGTGTGTGTGTGTGTGTGTGTGTATTTTCTGGAGTCTATTTGTGGAATCTGATGACAAATAACTTTTAAAGAATAATGTGCACAGTAACTCTTCATCCCACTTGAATGAGAACACACTGATATGGCAGTCTGAAAATGTCATAATCTTGTCTTAAAATCAATCTTTTCAAGACTCAGCTAAAACAAATAAGAAAAGCCTCTTCCTGTCTCCAAACAAAGTCTGATAAGCATCTGGGACAATTTCTCCATAAAGTCTTCATAGAACACATCCCACATCCCCAGATGCTTTCATGAAACCATTCGAGTAATTGCAATCATTTTCCTCCTTCTGTTGTTATGTTCCTTAATATACACACAGACACACACACACAGACACACACACAGGCGCACACATACATCTGCTCATAGTCCAGAGGTATTTGCTGTACAAACATCTCAATATCCTCATTTTTCTTTATCTTGGACTTGGGCATGCAACATTTTTCAGACTTTTCAATAATATGCTGATAGTGAATTGGGCTTTTATATGTTCTATGGATTATGTTCTTCCAGGAACTCCCAATTTTACTCTAATATGATTCCAGTATGCTGAGAGTTATTCCAACTAGAATGTGCTGAAGAGATGAATGTGGCTTCCATGCAGGGCATATTTCAAACTTTTCCCAAATAACATTCTTGTAGAGATTAGAGGATAATCTGGCAGCCAGACCTAGCCAATTAAAACAGTAATTGAAATGGTTGGAAATGTTTTCTTTGGCAAAATTTGATTATTTTGCTTCATTTTGGGTTTCCTTGAATAACAATAAAAACAAAACAAAACCCCCCAAAAGGGTCAATCATAAGACTGTTAATTTATTTTCTTGGTTATCTTTTCTCATCAAACAAAAAAGGATTGCTGTGTAGCTGAAAAGAAAAATTGAACACTGTGGTATGGGTTCTCACAGAACCCATAGAACGATTCTTAAGTTAATACCAGTAAATCTATTCTCAGCATAGACTATGTGGGAATTTCTGTTGTGGGTGGAAGGGGTAAGATGAGGAGAATTCAGTAAGAAATAAAAATACACAAGAGACATCCTTGGAAAATGTAAGTTTACTTTTCCCAGATCAATAGATACTTAAAAATTGAGACTTTCAACTTGAAGATATTGGAGAAAAAGAATTTAAAAATCAACTTATGTGCTATAATTCTCTTCTCCTGAAATCAGCTGTGTGCTACTAAGTGTTTAATAGTCCTCTCTGGGATCCGAAAGCATCTGATTTTTTAGCATTCGCTAATGTCCATGATGCAAACACTTTTTTTACCATGGCTAATTTCAAGCTACCAACCCAATGTTCCTGAACATAAGACTTGGAACAAAACATGCACGGTCAGCTCTTGCAAGCCACCATACACTGTTCCAGCACATCACAGAGTGAAGTCATAGTTTTACAAAGAAGACAGATAAGAAAATGCTATCTAGACTAACATTTGGTAAAAATACTGATAAAAGAAATTAGCGGGTGAAGATCATCATCTCACAAATTAATGAATCTAAGTTTTGCTGATTGAAATGGTAAGACTTGAGAAAATCCAAATGTTGGAATTGATTTTTTTTTAAAGATTTTATTGATTCATTTGACAGAGGGAGAGATAGAGATAGAGAGATTGAGAGAGCACAAGCAGGGGAAGTGGCAGGCAGAGGGAGAGGGAGAAGCAGGCTCCCCATAGAGCAAGGAGCCTGATGTGGGACTTGATCCCAGGGCACTGGAGTCATGACCTGAGTGGAAGCCAGACACTTAACTGGCTGAGACACCCAGGCATCCTTGGTGGAATTTGATTTTAAAAGGAAAACACCTTTTTATGTCAATCCATACTTCTTCCTTTTCAAACCCTGCTTGTAACCTCAAATCCTCTAAAGAAGTCTGAAAATAGGTGGGGTATCTATTTTAGCATCCTCTTGGACTTAACATCAATTCAAAATGCCATGTACTAGCCAGGCTAACCCTGCACACTAGAATCATGTGGGGAGCTTCCATAAAGTACTAACTCCTTGATCCCACCCAGGACCAACTAATGAGAAGGCTTTGGCGGGGGGCGCCTGGGGGACTCAGTCTGTTAAATGTCTGTGTTTGCCCCAGGTCATGCTCTCAGGGTCCTGGGATGGAGCCCCACATTCAGGCTCTCCACTCAGCAGGGAGCCTGCTTGTCCTTCCACCCCTCTCCCTGCTGGTGAGCTCTCCCTTTCTCTCTCAAATGAATAAATAAGATCTTAAAAAAAAAAAAAAAAAAGGCTTTGAGTGAGGCAAGGTACTGATAGTTTTAAAAAACTCCCCAAGTGTTTATTTTGTAAGCAGCTTTGTAAACAACTACTCCATCTATTTATTTGTCTACATTCTCACTGATAATATTCTGAAGGGAGACTGTAGTCCATCCCATTAAATTATGAACCCTGGCTGGACCAGATATGTTATTTCCTTTTTTCTCTTTTTATGCCTTCTCCCATCTCCATAAGAATCAATTAAAAAAAAAAACTTTAATTTTTGGATGGACTAGGAATGTGACACTATTCTGTTGGGCTCACATTTATCCTTACTCTCTCTTTTTTAGATTTCAAATCAAGCTCAGAAATTTTTGAGTTGGATCAAAGTCACCAGAAGCATGTACTAATTAATAATGATTTTCAATGATCTAAGGACACCCATGCAGAATAAATCACCTTTTTACTTAGAAAAGGACACTAATTATACATTTGACTTATTGAATGATTAACACACAGGATTTATCCACATATGTGCTGGTATGAATGTCAATATATAAAGCAAAAAAAAAAAAAAAAGAACAAAGAACAAATATTCCCACCTTTAAAAAAAAATGTAAAAAATACATTAAGATATGGGTGAGGCTTTAGTTTTTTTCCAGGAAGGGTGAGCTATATGATATTATAACATTATTTTATATGATTTAGTTACTTGCACAACTACTTTCAGGAAAAAAAAAATCAGACCATGCAAAAATGAACCTGGCCTATTTTCCAAATGCACAGTCCTCATCATTAGTGGCAGCCTTGATCAAATTTGAGAATCTTGAAAAGACATGCTATCTATGAATCTTGGAAAGACACACTTCACGTGTAGAAATCTGTGCCACCTCCAGGCATGGCAACGGAGCCAAGAACAGCAAGAAACACGACAAAGAGCAGCTGTGGCTCTTCACATGTGTGGTACCATTCGGCTAATGCCCAGGATATTGTATCATTTGTCCAAAGGGTGCAGCTGCACCAGCTGGCAGACTGGGGAAGGTGGCACAAACACAGAAGGCAGAAACTGGCAGCAAGCCTCACCTCTCCCCACGCTCACTCACTTTCTGCAGCACTGCTCTGGGCCATGTTCACAGAGGCGTCAGCATGCGGGCAAAACCTCTACTATAATTCAGCCAGAGAGCAAGTGTCATCACTCGACTCTGTCCGTGGTTGGTCTTCTGTAGAGGTCTATCTAAATGAAATGTGTTAGTTCACCTGTTACACCACAAACTACCCCAAATACAGAGGTTTCAAACAGCCATCATTTATTATTATTTACTCCTACGTGAGCAGAATGGGGTTCAGAGCATCAGGCTTGGGCTTGGCCGTATGGCTTTGTTATTCGCTGTGTTTCTGTGGATTGACGGAGGCAGCTCTGGCCAGTGTGTACGTTTTCCGGGACTGAGTCTGCAGGGGCAGGAGCAAGCTGGGAGGAAGCTCCTAACACAGCCACGGGAGAAGAGCAAGGGTGCCAGGGGAAGCACAGAGCTGTTAGAGCCTAGACTCAGAACTGGCAAACTGTCACTTCAGCTCCTACGCTATTGACGGAAACAAGTCATATGACTGAGTTCAAATTCTAGCAGTGAAGAACCACACTCTGCCCTTGAAGAGACCCTGGCAAAGCCATAGACACAGGATGGAATAAAGAATTAATTGTCCAACGGACAATCCATCACATAAACTTGTCAGTGTTTATGGACAAGAATAATGAGAATGAGAATGGTGATGGCGATGCTGACGATACTGCACATGGCGGTTCAGAGAGGTTTCTGGAGCTCTTCTGCCAATGGCCTGTCTCAGGGCTGCCAGCTGCAATAAGGTGGTTGGTTAAGTTTCTAGGAACTTCCTGGGTTAGCCCCAAGGTCACAGAGGCTTGCTCTGACCCTCACTCCTCCAGTGAGTTTTTTCAGTGCTTAATTCCCTATGTGAAATCCTCTGGCTAAAGTAGCAAGTGGATTACTCTAGATGATTAACCCTGACTGTTTGAGGTGATGAGTACTGAAAGCTTCAAAATATAGAGAAGTGTAAACACTGATGTTTACATTCAAAACAGAATGATTATGTCCAAAATATTCCCAGAAGTTAAAAATCTATAAACAAAAAGATGATATGTTAATAACAGTAATTTAGATTGTGAAGTACTGTTAACAAATAGGAGGATATTGGCTAGGCAGATTTGTGAAGTTACAGAAGAAAAAGTATTCTTTACCTTGCAAAAATGAGAGGTTATTCTTTTTTTTTTTTTTTTAGGATTCTATTTATTTATTTGTTAGAGAGAGAGAGCAAGTAGGGGGAGCAGCAGGCAGAGGCAGAGGCGGAAGCAGGCTCCCCACTGAACAAGGAGCCCGATGTGGGACTTGATCCCAGAACCCTGGGATCATGACCTAAGCTGAAAGCAGATGCTTAACCAACTGAGCCCCCAGACATCCTGAGAGAAGGTTATTCTTGAATCTATGTTCAAAATATACATTCAGGAATGTTTTTGGAAAACAGTCATCATTATTAGAATTAAAAACTACATGTGTCAGTCTCAAATCACTTAATGATATTCAGTCAAGCATAACAAATTTGGAAAACAAAACTTACTCATTTTCTCTCTCATTTGTTTGGCAATTTTTTTCATGACAACCTATGACTGCCAGACAGTATTTAGATTCTGCAGAAACAGGTGCAAACTAAGCAGACAAATCCTAGCCTTCAGAGAACTTATTTTCAGTACTGAGATACAGACAATAAAGATGTTGAATAAATACATTATGCAGGATTTTAAAAGAACTTCGTACAAAAAATAAAGTGGATGAAGAATTCTAAAGTGTAAGCTTACAATTTTATTGTTTAATTTAATTTTTTTCAAGTTTTTATTTAAATTTCAGTTAGTTAACATAGCGTGTAATATAAGTTTCAGGAGTACAATATAGTGATTCAACACTTCCATACAATAACACCCACTGCCCATCATGACAAATGCAATCCTTAATCCCCATCACCTATTTGAAGCTTGCAGTTTTAAACTGGGTAGTGAAGGTAGGCTCTACTGAAAAAGTGATATCTGACTCAAAACTTAAAGTAGCAAGGAACAAGGGTGCCTGGGTGGCTCAGTTGTTTAAGTATCTGCCTAGTGGACAGGTCCTGATCCCAGGGTCTTGGAGTCAAGCCCCACATTAGGTTGCCTGCAAAGTGGGGAGTCTGTTTCTCCCTCTGCTTCTCCCCTCCACTCATGCACTCTCTCTCTCCCTCAAATAAATAAAATCTTTAAGAAAAAAAAAAAAAAAGAAAAGGTAGCAAGGAACAAGTCATGCAGATACTGGAGGTGAGAATTTTCCAGGTACTGGAAACTCTTTTTGGAAAGAACCTGAGGCAAGAATGTGACTGATATGTTGAAGGAAGGAAGAAAGGGAGGGAGGGAGGGAGAGTGAGAGGGAGAATAGGAAGGAAAGAAGGAAGGAAGGAAGGAAGAAAGGAAGGCAGGAAGGAAAGAAAGAAGGAAGGAAGGGAGGAAGGGAAAGAAAGAAAGAAAGAAAGAAAGAAAGAAAGAAAGAAAGAAAGAAAGAAAGAAAGAAAGAGAGAAGGAAAGAAAGAGAGAAGGAAAGAAAGAAGGGAAATAACTGATGTAAGGGTTAAATTGAGGAGGTAGCTAAATACTAACAAAAGATCTAGGTATTTCTAGTTTTTTGGATTTTTTATATTTTATTAATTTACTTAGCTTATTAACCAGCTAGGTAGGTAGGTAATTTTAAGGAGATAATATATGCAAATAGTAAATTTTCAGTAGTACAAAGGAGTGCATTGGGAAGTAAGCCCTGCCCTTCCCCTACCCAGAGTTCCCAGCTCCCACCCCCGAGGAAACAATGTTACTAGGTCTTCTATGTATCTTTCCAGATATTTAATGACTTTTTCTGGTATATGCCCCCAAGTGAGGTAATTTGGAAAAACAGAATGTATCTTTGAGGGAGATCTGGATAAAGTTTGCTCTAATAGATGCACCTTAGTCTTTGTGCTATAATTATAGGTCCCCAATGAGCATGGCAGCCCAAGTCATGCTATCCCAGATGGGTGGGATGGGCCTACCTTGTGACGTCACCAAGTCACCTCAAGAAGAAGTTACCTGTGTATGACCACGATTTATTTTGAGAACTATTTCTGTTCCCACATCCAGAAGATTCCATGACTGTCATTTCTTGTGTCATTTTCTCCCAAGGATAAGGAGTGATTTCACTTAGTACTTGAAAACAGGTGTAGTGAAGTGAAAAAACAAACTATAAGACAAAAAAGTAAAATAAAATATTAACAAAGTAAAAAACAGACGGAAAACTTCTGTGTTTCACCAATGGGTATGGCAAGGTGACAATAGGTTCCTTGTTTGATAAAAGTACAAAGGTACAGGGTAATCCAATATTTTCCTGTAAATGCAGCCAAATTATGTGTCAGGCAGGTGTGATGACCACCACACTATGGAAACCAGCCAAATTATGTATAATGTATACTTCAGACTTTCAGACAATTTTCCGTGCAGGTAAACAAGCAGAAATCCATAAACTCCTTATATGTCTTTGATATTACAGTTGGTCTGCTATTTTAACATGGCCCTCACAGTCTCATTCTGCTCAATGAGATCTCCTGTGTCATTTTCAGAAAGTGTTAGGAAAATGCTATATGATCATTATATCTACCGCTCTAATCTTAGTAAGATAAAGAAAAAAATGCTTTATTCTTCAGAAAGATCCTTATGATCCAAGCATTTGCCAACAATGGCAACAAACTCCTTATGGGGCACCTGGGTGGCTCAGTGGTTAAGCATCTGACTTCAGCTCAGGTCATGATCCCCAGGTCCTGGGATGGAGCCCCTCATCGGGCTCCCTCAGGGTACTGGGATCGAGTTCTGCATCGGGCTCCCTGCTCAGTAGAGAGCCTGCTTCTCTCTCTCATTCTGCCTGCTGCTCCCCCTGCTTGTTCTCTCTTTCTCTCTCTCTGTCAAATAAATAAATATATTTTTTAAAAAGCCTCTTTACCATTATTAGTGCATAAGCTTTCTTGATCCACATAATCCCAGGAAGATTATAAATTAACCACCACCACTACCATCATCATCACCAAAAGATGAGGGTAAGAATGTTACCAATTTAATTTAACTTTGGGTATTTTTTGTAAAGTCTATGGCAACATGTCTCAAACTTCTAAAGGCCACTAGAATGTAAGTTCCATGAGATGATGCCTATTTCCATGATGTTTAGAGGCTGTCTAGCCTGTGCCTAGCCCTCATGTCAGGGTTAATTTTATGCATCAACTTGGCTAGGCCATAGTACCCAAATATTTGGTGAAATAATCTTGGAGATGTTTCTGTGAAACTTTTTTTAAAAGTAAAACTAACATTTAAAACAGAAGCCTTTGGGAAAGCAAATTATCTCCATAATGTATGTGGGTCTCATCCAATCAATTAAAAGGCTCAATAGAAAAAAGACTAACCTGTCCAAGCCAAGGAGCAATTCTGCCAGCAAGACTAACAGACTCAAACAGTAACCCTTCCCTGGGTCTCCAATCTGAAGGCCTATCCTGCAGACCTTGTACTTGCCAAGCTTCCACATCATCTAAGCCAATTCCTGAAAATAAATGTCTCTATATAAATGTAACCAGTAAGATATATACACATCTAGGTAGTTCTATTTCTCTGAAGAACCCTGACTAATACAATTGAGTAGGCATACAGTAGTTCCAAGTAGCATTTTTTGAATGAATAAATGAATGAATGAAATACTAATTCATGACCAATGTATGTGTGTTTCTTTGGTGGATGCGTTTGGCATGTGTTCAAATATTTTATTTCAAAATAATCCTTACAACTCTTATTGTACAAACTCCAGAATTTAGAAGTAAAATTTAACTGTTAGAACTCTTGCCACTATTTTCCTGATAATCTAAATTGATGATATCCAGCTTTCTCTATTGGTAAAGGAGAGGAATGATTGCTTTATTTTGAATTACACCACTCTGTTCTCGACACAGTAAAATTGTCAGAGTTTTAACCAATCTCTAAAATCCAATCCGAAATATCATCTTCTAGAAAACAGTCATTGCATAGCACTAGATTTTCTCTAATCTGCTGGACATAAACAGCTGTTTATAGCTACCAGGGATCATTGATCATCAAGTGAAAACTAGGTATATATTGCAGAGCTCATAGTTTATCTGTGTCTACAGAATCAGCTTCAACACACACACACACACACACACACACACAGTGGTCCTGTACTAAAATGCATTTTGTTGCTTTATCTGAAAAGAACAGCAATGAGAGCAAGGCCACAATGGTCTTTTCACTAGGCTGAGCTGATACCTATTTTCTAACAGGTTATCTCTAGAATTAAAATGTATGGTTAGCTTGTACTAGTATTTCCAGTCTCCTCATTCCAACTTGTTTTTTCTTAACTTAAAAAATGACCTAAACTCCATTTTCTTTTATATTCCATGCCTTGCTTGCCTCCCCTGACATATGTAAACCATCATAAAACTTGATTACCAGCTTTCTTGTTTTGTTTTTCAAAATTGTTACCTAATCTAATGCACATATACTATTCTAAAAGGACCTCTGGACCTAGCAAAATCTCATTTAATGATACACACTTTAGACTTAACCTGAAGACACACATCGATTAACATCACTGAAGACTTTTGAGAAAGAAGTCAATAGATGTATTAAAGATGCCAGAAATACAAGTAACAGCCTCTCAAGACAGGTAAAGAGAAAACTGCGTTTATTCAGGGTCTGTTTGGCACCTTCTCTTATTTGTACCTTAATCTTCCACTGCTATTGTCCAACATGGACTTCTTTTCTCAACATAATCAATCTAGACCATGTGGGCTTACTATAAACATATAACCTTCTGTTCCATGCTGAGATTCAAGATATAAGGCTGATGTACTCATTGGTTCTAATGGGTTAATACTTTGAGCCTGCCAGGTGCAAACTGATAGAAGGTTTTAGAAATTATGTCTTAATTTGAACAATGTAGTCCATTACTTGAAATTTTAGTTTCCCATTGATCAACAGAAAAAAAAACTAGGATAAAAATTGCCTTTTGGAACCCCCTAAATCAAACCAACTAGGAAGGTGCCTACTCAGACTTCATGGGGAGTTTACTATAATTATGATTTTGCTAGACACCCAGCAAAGAATCTAGAGAGACCAAAACAGGAGAGAAGACAGATATAATAATATTAATATCAGCTTTAGGGGAGAATTTTATCATTTAATATAATTACTGGCTCCATAAGTTCTTCATAAGTAAATGAATCTGAGAGGAATGACTTCTGATCAATAGTCGAACTGAGGAGGCCCTTCAAATGTAGCTTCTATGTAGGAACAATTCAACTGGATTCCTCTGTAAAATGGATAGATTACCCTCCAAAAGGCAGGCAGGAGGGAAGGAAGATGAAAGGAAAGGAGAGGAGAGGAGAGGAGAGGAGGAAGAAAGGAGGGAAAAGAATTTATATCTTAGAAATTAAAGCTGTTGGAGATCTTCTAAAATCAGTCAGCATTATCCATTTAAGGAATGGTAAAAGAAGAGAGAGGTAAAATTAGGTTAAATTTTGCAGTTGTAGAGATGAAATAGAACTTTCTCTAAGAGAAGTTAATAAACTCAAGATTAGTTATTAAAATAAATTCCTTCGTTGGAAAGATGAAAAGTATGAAAGGGATTTGTTTGGGGAGTTGCTGTGTAAAGCGTCTGATGTTGGGCGAAGTAAAGGAAAATGTTGGATCTTGAGTTTAATTTTTTAATTTTTTTAGTGAGTAGAAATGAACTCATCTCAATAGCATTTCCTCTTTTGTATTTGCTTAAGCTATTCTTCTAAATTGTAATATTTAGCCCTGCCAATTCCCAAAGATTCTCATATTTCTGTCTCAGTGCTGCTCATGAAGTAAACAAAATTCCTACCAACTGGAGCTACATCTTAAATCGATTTATACTATTAGTAAAAACTATGGTGGAGTAAAAGCACATGGTACGGGGAGCCAAGAGGGTCCCCATGGTAAACTCAGCTCTTCTGCTGGTTACCTGACAAGGACCCCTCTGTGCCTGGGTTTTCTCCTCAGCAAAACAAGAGAGATGTAATAACTAACTCCTCACTGATCTTCCAACCAGCAGAATTTGTGTGTGTTTTATAAAAGTAGCCTGGTCATGAACAACAATCTTAATAGCAGTGAGAAATGCATGGAGCCACTTTACAACAACTTCGACACACTTGTGTCTTGAACAAATGTTTGGCAATCATATCAATTTGTGCCCCATCTTCAGTCAGAACTTCATCTTAACCATTCAAATATGCTCTCGCAGGCAAATCTTCGAGATTCTCCCCAGGAGGCAAACATCCCAAGCTCATCTGTAACCTTAAGGCCAGAAATGGCTTCCTTCCTTCTGGTCTGAGGTGCCTGGCTGGATTTTCAACTTAATGTCATGTCTTCTATCCTTAGCAGGGAGGGAATACAGTGGGGCTGACCATTTACGTGCTATCTATTATTAATCTGAGCCATGGTAAATTTGTTTGTACTACAGTTTCTGTGGTCTTACATTGCATTCCAGTGAAATGATAGAACCTGATCTTCAAATGGAATGTTCTCTCGCAGGTTTAAAATGACCGGATGATAAAGCCAAACAGACTGGCAAGAATACCATGCAGTTCTTGATAGGGGACACAGGGAAGGACATTGTTTCTCTCACTGACCAGTCTCCTAGCAGCCTAATTAATGCACAGTGGCTCTTGATATCACACTCTCTAAAAACCCAAACTTGGAAATATTATCAATTCTTCTACAATGAAATATGGACTCAGGAAATTGTGTGTGTGGTTTTTTTTAAAAGATTTTATTTATTTATTTGACAGAGAGACATCACAAGTAGGCAGAGAGGCAGGCAGAGAGAGAGGAGGAAGCAGGCTTCCTGCCGAGCAGAGAGCCCCATGTGGGGCTCAATCCCCAGGACCCTGGGATCATGACCTGAGCCGAAGGCAGAGGATTTAATCCACTGAGCCACCCAGGCACCCCAGGAAATTGTGTTTTTAAATGGTAAAATTTCTAGTAGTCCGCAGTGCTTAAAAGAGACAGATCTTCCCCCCCCCCCCCCGGAGAGAGCTCCTGTGAGCAGGAGCAGGGGGAGAGGGCCAGAGGGAGAGAGAGAATCCTAAGCAGGCTCCATGCTCAGTGCATAGCCCGACACGAGGCTCCATCTCAAGACCCTGAGATCATGACCTGAGCCAAAATCAAGAGTCAGATGTTCAACCGACTGAGCCACCCAGGTGCCCCCCAAAGAGATAGGAAAATGTGGTGAAAGGAAACATAACAATATTGTGTATCCCCACCTCCTGCCTTCTAACAGGTGAGCTCTTATGATGCCCATTCTATAGACAAGGCCAATAAAATGGAACAGGTACCCTATCAAAAAGGAATGCACCATGTAAGAGGCAATGCTAATAATAGAAGCTATTTAAGAGGGAACAGCACAAGATGTTGAAAGGATGGTGAACACTGTTTTTCTTTGCTGATACCCAAAAAGTAACCAGAAAGAGATTATCCCTTTTCCCCCCTCCTCTTGAGTTGTGCTGCTATCCTGTGAGAAGTGTGGGGGAGGGCAAAGTGGTATTCCCCAAGGATGGGCTTTCCCAGCCTCCTCCAGAGCAGTCCAGGTCTGTGAATCAAGGCCGGGGGTGGGCCCAGCAGTTTTCCTTTCCCCACGCAGGCCATGATTAAGAAGGCATCTGTCAACAGAGACTTTCAGCTGTATTTCCAGCCCAGCTTCCTCCCAACTGACTCAGCCAGTGATGCCACAATCTAATGTTTATGACCTAACTGTTGATCACCATGGAAGGAGCACAAACCTTAGACTGTTGAGGAGTAAAACCAGTATTGAGATGCTGGATGGTTTCGGAAGAGGGCAAAGAAGACCCTTATTATTCATCAAGACCACATGTGAGGACTGAACACCATATTCCTCACGTGGGCACTTCCACTGCTTGCTAAAACTGCCATGTGGATGTCTTCGTGCCTATTGGAGGACCCAAATAAGGACTTCGGGTGACCGAGTAGAAACAAATGCCATGGCATTTAGAAACGAAGAACAAGAAGCCAAAGGGAAAATGTGTATGTAGCCATTTAATGAGGTTTGGATGACAAGTTCTGTTTCCTTACCTTTTCGCCAGCATGTGGAAACGGTTTTAAAAGAGAAAGAAAATGTGCTGAATGCCAGGAAAAGACTACGATCCCCCCAAACTCGACCTCGTAAACAGTGCTGCTGGTATATTCATAAGCCGGGAGTATCAGGATATTTCTGGTTGACTTTCTGGTTATTCCGGGTGCCCCCACCCATAAAAATAAAAGCCAAATGAAAAAACAAGCCAATGGCATAAAATAACTGCTTTTTAGTACAGATCATTGTATCAAATGCTGTCAATGGCAGGAGGTCTTGGCACAGATGTGGTAACTGGATGAGGACTGTGGCGTGGTCAAGGTGAAGTGAGTCTTCTTTCCTGGACTGCCCTTCCCAGACTAATAATCAAAAAGAGCTGTCCTTCTCCAGCCCCAAACAGCCGTGTTCGAACAGTGTCTCCCAGTAGTGCTTGTGGCTTACAAGTAATGTGAGAGTCTTTTTATAACTGTTGAGGTTTAATTTAAAAGGAAGCTCAGAATCAGCGGTAAAGGGAGGGGAATGTTGTGAACTACAGACCATCTGAAATGGGGAAAATCATAAATACCAGAGTGTCTGATTATGTGAGCGTCTCTTGAAGTCGAATAATGAACCTTCTTCATGTTCTGCTTTTCTGGACTTGGCTCCCTCTGACAAATTTGCAGGCATCAGGGTCTGTCTGGAATTCATTCCAAGTTGGAGGGATATTTTTTCCCTTGACATTTTGCAGCTGAGACAGCCCTGAGCAGGAAGCTGAGGAGTGTAACATTACCAAATATGTCCTTTCTCCTGCTCTTATATTTTATTTCCACAGGAAAAGAAGGCAGATGAGGGCCAGTGGGAGCTGGCCAATGAGAATGCGGCCACAGGGGCGGCCTTTACGGGAGGTGGGGAAATTGATCAGATGCCAGTTTTCACCAAAAAAGAGAAACTATTCTAGGTACCACCAGTTGAAATGTGTGCTCTGCTTGAGGAGACGTTTGGCCGTTTCCTACAAATCGCCCAGCTATTCCAGCGGAATTACTTATCACCGCGTCGGTCTCATTTTCTCATGTAGGCCTTTGCTAAGAAAGCAGGCGTGCGGTATATTGCTAACACGTCTGTGCCTTTGACCAGATCACTTCACTTTCTGGGGCTTCAGATTCTTTATTGGTAAAAGGAACACTTGGATGTGATCATTTCCCAGATCTCTCCAGGTTCCCAAAACTAAAGTCTGTAAGCTAGTTTGATCACATGCCTCAATCACTAAAATATATTTGAATATCCATCAAGTTACATGTATATGTATATGCACTGCTTTATAAGTATATTATAAACTTACAAAATATATAAAACATATAAAATACAAATTAAAAAGGAGACCAAATATGTAACTTCAGGTATTTTCCCTCCAAACCTCAATAGTTTCTCTTAAGCACTACCTGGGGTCTCTTTGGAGATCATGGCTCCAGGCTCCTTTTCAGCTCTGTTTTTTTTTTTTTGTTTTGTTTTGTTTTTTGTTTTTTTTTTAATGGGTGTAAGACATTAAATCATCATTTCCACAGGGGCTAAGAGAGAACATAGGTCAGTAAAGTGACTGCAGATTACATACCCTTTGCTTGCATATTAAATACATAACAAAGTTTTTTATTATTTTTAAGACATTTTTAAATTTTTTTACATTTTTAAAAAGATTTTATTTATTTGACACAGAGACAGAAAGCACAAGCAGGGGGAGCAGCAGGCAGAGGGAGAGGGAGAGGGGGAAGCAGGCTCCCTGCTGAGCTGAGAGCCTGACTTGGGGCTCCATCTCAGGACTAGGACCTGAGCAGACGGCAGATTGCTTAACTGACTGAGACACACAGGCACCCCCCAAAAGTTTTTTAAAACATAATCTTCTTTGGTTAATCTTGTTGTACTACTTGTAAAAGAAAATAGTTACAGAGAAAGTTCTTTACTGAGGAAAACAGCAATGTAAGTTTGTTGTAAATGGCAATTGACAATCTTGAGTCAGGGAAATATTTGAAAGCAGGAGAAACTGGGGTAATCTGGAGTGTGTCTGTTGTGTCCAAAGACAGAAGCTGCTCTTCAGCCCCAGCGAGCTTTCGTCATCCAGGAAGGGAGGCCTAGTCCTGCCAAATGTGATTTTTCAAAAGAATTGAGATACACAGATTTTAATGTGAAATTAAGTTAATTTCTCAATTAATGTTGCTCAAAAATTTTAGAGCCAAGCATAAGATGAACTCTCCTCAGCTAATGGGCAGGCTCTTGGTGATCTCTGACCTAATAATCAGCTGATTTAGCTCTGTAATTTTTGTGACAATATTGGTCTTGTATTCAGACATCCAAGTCTTTGGGCAGGGTGGTTATGTATGCGTAAGAGAGAGAAACATGAAATGGCATTTCATTAAGATCATGTTTTTCTCTCACCAGCTTTTCAAAAGGGATCACTTCTTGGATACTTCTAAGGTTGCCCCATCAGACCAATTATCTATGTTTTTTTAGTCATAAAAATAAGAAAATATTACATTGTTCCTGATACACCTGCTGCTTTTGTATATGGAAATACCATAGAAAAAAGTATTATCTTAAATTTTGATGTTGTATTGATCAGAGATTGCCAAACTTTTTCACAGATATTTTTCAGTAAATATGGAAGCCCCGTGGGCCATCTGGTTGCTGTTGCAATAACTCAGTTCTGCATGGCTGCGTGAAAACAGCCATAGACAATACTTTGCAAACAAATGAGCCCGGCTGAGTTCCAATAAAACTTTATTTACACTAACAAACTGTGGACCAGATTTGGCCTGTGGGCTGCAGTTTGTCAATTTCCATATTAAATCATAAGCTCTTCGAGGGTGTAACCTATGTCTGATTCAACTCTGTATCTTCAGTCCATGCAATCCTGGCCTAGAGGAGGTGTTCCATGAATATTTGCTAAAATAAATTGAAGGGTGTGGAACTTAGCAGTTTACGCCAATAATAATTAACTTCCCATTTGGGAGATAGAAAACCTACAGCAGGGTTTATGGGTTGTGTCCACCATGAGGCTTACATCAGCATATGAATTCCCTTAGGGAATTTGTGGCTCATCCAAATGTTCTGACCAAGGAAAAAAGGTCCTCTATCAGGCTAATGAAGCAACCTGAGACTGCTGAGACCCACACACAGACTGAAGGGTCAAAGGGCAAGAGCCACAGAAGACCCTCAGAATTTCATGGATAGGCTTCTTCCAAATCTTTCCTCAGCTCTTCTTTTTTAACAACTAAATGACCAAATACCAGGTGTCTATTGTGCTCTTACACTGTAGTGCTGTGCTTCTCAAAATTCTGGTCATGACCCACTGGGCACACACTAAAATGTTTCCCAAAACAATTCTTACTCTTCCCCCATTTCTAAATTCTGTTTTTAGGAACTGAGGTATAATTGACGTATAATTACACCTTCACATACACAACATCATTGTTCAGTATTTGTATTTATTGTGAAATGATCACCATGACAAGCCTAGTTAACAACCATCATCGTCAGTTATCCTAGAGTTACAAAATTTTCCTCCTGCAGTGAGAAGTTTTAAGAGCTACTTTCTTTGCATCTTTCAAATACACAATGCAATATTATTAATTAGATTTTCCATGCTGTACATTACATTCTTTATGATTTATTTATTTTATAACTAGAAATTTGTGTCTTTTGACCCCCTTTACCCATTTCTTCCATTTCCCAACCCTGAGCTCTAGCAAGCACCAATCTGTGTTCTGTATTTATGAGCTCATTTTTTTTGTTTTTTTAGATACCTCATATAAGTGAGATCATAGATTAGCCTTTCTCTGTCTGACTTATTTCACATAGCATAATGCCTCAAGGTCCGTCCACATTGTCATAGGAATATTATTCCTCCCTCCCTCTCTCTCTCTCTCTCTCTATATATATATATATATACATACACATATTTTTTCTTCATCCATTCATTTTATTTATCCATTCATCCACTGATGACACTTAGATTGTTTCCATATTTTGGCTAACTCTTATGCTTATTATGAGTAATTCACTGGGATATCCTCTCTTTGTTTATATTTGATTTATTTTTATCATGGGTCAAACTTTCTAAATGGATTTTATCACCCACTAGATGTAGCATTTGGTTTGACAATCATAGAAACATTCAGCTCTTATTCTAAAGGGATTTACACGCTAACTGGAGAGATAAGGAACATCTAGCGAACAGAGTAACAGGAGATAAGTTAGGACATCTGTAGCACTTAGAGCTCTTCACTGGTAGTAGCTGGAGTTTTAGAAACCATAGATGAGTGGTGGTATTGGTCTAGGCTGGAGGCTTAACACATGGAAAATTTATCTGAAAGGAGGAGTGGGGGAGAAATAAGTGAATTGGGGTAAGGCCTCACTTTAAGAAAAAAAAAAAAAAATCTTCCAAATAAAAATGTAGCCGAGGGCCATTTCTTTTCTCCTGACTCCATTCCCAGGATGAAGGAAAAGGGTCTCAATTAAAATTCAGCAGGCATTTGTTTACTGGAACAGTATATGAGAGGATTAAAGAAGAATGAGAGGTCTACATGATTCATTTCCAAAACCCAAATGGAACCATGGAAGGGCATGGTCTGAGAAGAGTCTGATTAGAAAAATCACTTTCACTTAGAAAACAGTGAAGATAACTCTTTGGAGAAAAGAGAAGACAAAATTTGAAGATTGGTGAGATCACTACAGACATGCAGTTAGAAAACAAAATCATATTTTTATTGGCTACTAAGATTTTTATATGAGGCAAATATAGAAGTACTTTGGTAGTTTTGTCAAATCTGGTGTGGTTTTGAGATAAAAGGGAAAAGAACCAAAAGGGTAACCAAATAAATGGTCAAGCAGATTAATTAACTTCAATAAGCTGTATTTAAGTCATGAGTAAAAACACACTGATTGTGGGAGTGAAGAGGCAAGGAGTGGAAGGGATGGAATTGGCAAAGGGCCCAGTAATCAAACATATAAAGCAAGTACGCAGATTTCCATAAACACAAGGTAACTAGAAAGCAAGGGACCCTTGCAGATGAGTTCCGAATGTGAGAACCAAACCAAGCTGAAAAAAGTAAAATGAATAGAAATGCCTACAAAATAGCATGGGACAGATAAGCCCAAGAAAGACAAGCGTATTTGAGAATCAAAAAGTAAAAGACTGTACACTACAATTTAAAGAGAAAAGGACACAAGGCATAGAGAAAATAGAGGCATAGGTTGAAATTGGAAGAGGAGGAAATAATGTAAATGCATGTTGATTTTCATTTTAGGTATGATTCTAATTTTATAATAAGAGGAAAAAGCACAACAGTAACAAATAACTTATTTAAAGATCATTTCCACTTTGACAATTCTACAATGGGATTTTCAGTCCAAAGGGCTTTATGAAATAAACAAACAAAAGATATAAGAAAATAATAAAGAAGTATGATCGATGATGTTCTCTCTATGACACAGACGATGGCATCCTGGAAATCAGTAGTCTGGTTTATAAGACACTTAAAGAAGGGTGTTTATAATTATCTCCCAGTGATGTGAACTGCCAAATTTTTCTCAAAATATAATTAATCTTTAACTGCTTTTAAAACATCTTGGATGTTATGAATAAATCTAATGTCACTAAGTTAATCAGAAGCCAGACTTTACTTACTTTACTGACATAATAGGCTTCACACATGTTTAGGAAAAACCAGACATTTAAAAAATTTTTTTTAATTTTTTAATAAACATATAATGTATTATTAGCCCCAGGGGTACAGGTCTGTGAATCACCAGGTTTACATATTTCACAGCACTCACCATAGCACATACCCTCCCCAATGTCCATAACCCCACCACCCTCTCTCTACCCCCTTGCCCCCGGCTCCCCTCAGTTTGTTTTGTGACATTAATAGTCTCTTATGGTTTGTCTCCCTCCCAATCCCATTTTGTTTCATTTATTCTTTTCCTACCCCCCAAACCCCCCATGTTGCGTCTCCACTTCCTCATATCAGGGAGATCACATGATAGTTGTCTTTCTCTGATTGACTTATTTCGCTAAGCATAATTCCATCCATGTCATAGCAAATGGCGAGATTTCATTCCTTTTGATGGCTGCATAATATTCCATTGTAGATATCTATACCACATCTTCTTTATCCATTCATCTGTTGATGGACATCTAGGTTCTTTCCATAGTTTGGCTGTTATGGACATTGCTGCTATAAACATTCGGGTGCACATGCCCCTTCAGATCACTACATTTGTATCTTTAGGGTAAATTCCCAGTAGTGCGATTGCTAGGGTAGCTAGCAATAGTAGGGTGCGATAGTAGGGTAGCTCTATTTTCAACATTTTGAGGAAGCTCCATGCTGTTTTCCAGAGTGGTTGCACCAGCTTGCATTCCCACCAACAGTGTAGGAGGGTTCCCCTTTCTCCGCAACCTTGCCAGCATCTGTCATTTCCTGACTTGTTAATTTTAGCCATTCTGACTGGTGTGAGGTGGTATCTCATTGTGGTTTTGATTTGTATTTCCCTGATGCCGAGTGATATGGAGCACTTTTTCATGTGTCTGTTGTAAAGCCAAATATTATACTCTCTCTTAAGGTTTATCACTTTCCAAGTGGTTTATCCTACGTTTCCAAGCATGTCTGGAAGAAACAATCTTTAGAAATTACATTATGGTTTCAAGGGCAAGGGTTATTGAGCTTGGTTTCAAAGAGCTACTTGAGATTCCTTAACTTTTCTTCAGAAGAAAAGGCCCAAGTCTTTATCCTAAGACTCGTTAAGAGGTAACAAAGAACAAAATCAAGCAGCAGGGCAGGTCCAAATAGTTTTGGGCCTCTATGTAAAGTAGAAGGTAGGGGCTCCCATTGTGGAACCTGGAAGCTCAGGTCTAAGTGCGGGTGCATTTAAAATAAAAAAGAAGGGGCGCCTGGGTGGCTCAGTGGTTTAAAGCCTCTGCCTTTGTCTCCGGTCATGATCCCACAGTCCTGGGATGGAGCCCCACATTGGGGGGGGGGGGTCTCTGCTCAGCGGGGAGCCTGCTTCCTCCTCTCTCTCTGCCTGCCTCTCAGACTACTTGTGATCTCTGTCAAATAAATAAATAAAGTCTTTAAAAAATTAATTAATAAAATAAAATAAAAAAGAATAGCAGGAGGCAGAGACTATCCATCCTAGCTGTAGGGCTTTCCTTCAGGAAGTCGTCCTATCTTTGTAATTTGTTCTCAAAGACAAACCACTATCTTCTCTCTGCTCTGGGCAATTTAACCTAATAGATGGCTTTTACTTATACTATTATAGAAAAATTTTCCTGGGCTCTGTATCAGCTCCCAAAATAGTTTTAACATATTTTGTTACATCTCTTCTCTCTATTACAGTTTATTTACAGAGGTAAATTCATTACAAACATATATATTATATATGTTTGTGGATGCTATGTGTATACGGGCAAACAGACTAATGTGACATCCCATTTTCTCATCCCCCCTCATAATGCATAGGCAATACTAAATGAGGGGTGAAGTTATTACACAGTGTCATGGACAGCCAGCAGTGACCTTTGAAAAGTGAGGTTTCCCTAAGTCTTTCTCTGTATAAGACCAGAATTTATTCTGCACGTGTTCTATATTACAACTCATGAAATGGAAATTTCAGTGACAAAATGTAAGAAGGCAGAACATAAAAATGACTGACTTTTTTCAGGAAGAGAAATTCCTCTTTAGAAAAGAAACTACATTACCAGAACCAAGGGCATGTAACAATATTTTCTGAGTGAATAGTAAGATATTTTCAGGCTAAGATGACATAATTTCTTTTCCTTGTTGAAAGGTCACTACTAATAAGCCAGGTCACCTAACTCTTGTCACTTGGATAGTACTGGGTCAAACGTGAGCAGACAGGCCCAGGAGTAAGGGTTGAAGGACTCAAGAGTTTAATTGGAGGGACATCTGGGTGGCTCAGTTCCTTAAGCATCTGCCTTTGACTTAGGTCATGATCTCAGGGTCCTGGGATCAAGTCCTGTATTAGGTTCCTTGCTCGGTGGGAAACCGCTTCTCCCTCTGCCTCTGCTTGCCAGTCCCCCTGCTTGTGTTCTCTCTTGCTCTCTCCTTCAGACAAATAAATAAATAAAATCTTAACAACAACAACAAAAAAGAGTAAAATTGCGGGGCTCTCTTCAACAGCACATATACCAAAATCAGAACAATACAAAGATTAGCACGTTCCCTGTGCAAGGATGACACACAAATTTGTGAAGCCTTCCATGTTTCTTTCATGTTTTCTGCATATTAAAAAATCCTACTGTACTGATTCATAAACTATTCAACACCTATAAAACGAAGAAAAAAGTAAAATCAGAGGCCAGCATACCGTATTGTCTCAATATTTAAGTTATAAATCAAGCTAACACACTGTAAAAAATGTTTTATTCTCTGACCTTGACATACATCACTGTCATAATGACAAAATTGGAAATATGTCCAAATCTATGGCTTTTATATGACTGGAAGTTAGCAAATTATCAAAGACAAGCACATTAATTTTTATTGTGCACATCTCTGTGTTCCGTTGATGGTCCAATGATACTTGGATGACTAATGTAATGCATATAGAAATTTAATAGTAATATAGTAAATACTCTATACACTAAGAAATTCAAAGTACTATGCAAAATATTCCACAGCCACCATATACAAGCGCTATGAATAGCACGCTCATCTAGCCTGGGAGTAATCTCTGGAACCATGAATCAGGACCCAAACAAGAGCCAGAACAATGGCTGCTCAGCACTACTGGGAAAGCACACTTCATTAGGAAAAAATGAATATGCGTTTCTATTATCTCCAAGGAGGGACTTGATAAATCACTCAGTATATTTTCTCATACTCAAGGGTTTCTGCTGTTCAAACCCTGCCTTCACTCCAAAGTGGTTTCTTTCTCCAACGACAACAGAGACGGAGATACCACTTTTTTTTTTTTTTTTTTTCCCTAGGACATAGGGCACAAGATAGGCATGGACATTTCCCTGGAGCCTGAACAAGGTTAGTCCCAGCGGGAATGTCTAAGGTTCCAGGTTGTCCTGTGTCGGGGCTGAGTGCTGGGTCCATAGTAAGGGCACCTGTGTTTCCTTACAAAATTCCTTTATCCTGGGTTTGTGATATACAGGGCCTCAAGTGCAGGATACCTTTTACTCACATGTGAATGCAGTGCCGGATTTAGGTGATTTCCTGAGCTCTTTCACAGATGTGCAGAATCTAAAAAGGCTTACAGCATGAACGAGCTTCTGCAGAAAGCTGTTATGACGGGGTTTCTTGACAACCAGAATTTGGTGATTGTATGTATAGATTGCTAAGGTGACCATTGCCATGTAGGAATACAGTTGTAGATTCACTAGCAAAAGGACTTCAGCAATCCTTTTTTTTTTTTTTTTCTCATGAACACAGTCAAATCTATTCCAGGAGAAATCAGATTTTCTCTAGTATTTTGTTTGGTTTTGTTATGAGAACTCCTGATTCAACAGAACCTGACAACTCCTTGATCTTGAGTCCTGTTTTCTTGTTCTCTTGCCTCTATATTCTTTCACCCAAAAAACCCCCTGTCACCACTGGTTTAATTCCAGTTTAATTACAAGCATTTCAATTTCTGATCCATCAAAAGTCTGGTCTTCCCTACGTATGCATTTCCCACTGCAGTCTCCTAACACTTTACAGGCTCTGAACAATGGCTATCTGTTCCCTCCTGCTGGGTTTCCAGAAACAGACTTCAGAGAGCTGCCATGTGTTTATCTTTCTTTACACTCCAGCAAGCACCCCTCCGTGACTCACACACTCAGAAAGCCAAAAGCCCTGAATGGTTGTTTATTCTCACCAGCTGGATGACCCTGCACGTGGCTCTCAGCATGGGCGAGGATTAGAGATGTTGGGGAGGTGTGCCATGTAGATTTCAGGACACACAAAACTGCCTCCACTTGTGCCTTGCGTAGGTCTTCTCCGGAAGCTCAGAATTAACCAAGGAACTCAGCTCAGCTTGTCATCTTTGTTTTTTTTTTTCCCACTTATGCACAGATGGGAGAGGAAGAATCAGATAGGATGGCCAAGAGGAATACAAATACGTGGGGACTTGCCATTTTCTAGTGCTTACAGCATAATATTCAGCCTTTAGAACTGATGCTTGGTGGACAGGTGGCACATGACTCTTGATGGTCTGATTAGATCAACTTGCTACACCAGCTTCAGAGATGGACCATCCTTCACCCCAATCACAAATTACATGTGAGCCCTAGGAATTAGTCAGTTTAGAACTTCTTGATCATCTGGTAATTTTCTGCCTAGTTTTATGGAGATTTGTCTTCTGCATTCCCAGTATTCAGCAACAGACACATGTTGTGGGATAAAGAGCGAAAAAAAGCCAACAAAAAGCCTCACATGCCATAGTTAGAGATGAGGAGATCAAAAAGAAACTGGTCCCTCAAAAGTCATTCTGTTTATTGGAGATATCCATCAATTCTGGTCTTAGGGAGAGTGTACTGCTATCCTTACAGAGGATAACAATTGTATCTTGCCCCTTCCTCTCAGACATCTGACGAAGGCTGGGTAGGATCACAAATAAATCATGAGGACTAGCCTATGGGAAAAGGAGCACACACTGGATGAAAATGGAGAAACTTGTGAAAACAGAGATGGTTTTCAAAGATTTAACACAGCCAAGTCATGTTCACTCTTGTTAACTTTGGTTATGCAACACCATTGTTTAGCTTTTTTTTTTTTTTAATTTTCAAAGCAATATATAAAGGAATCCAAAACAAAACCATAAAGATTATAGCTCTTTAAAATAAAAAGCTGTAAATAGAAACCCACATAGTTTACCAATAGTACTTGCCATTTTTAAGTGTACTTCTCTGAGTTTGACAAGTTTATGGAATAAAGCAAAAGAGTAGCTAATTTTTTTTTCTCCTAGGAACTAATCCTCTGCATACTAAGGAAATGTAACCAGAAATTGCCATTATAAGAATGCTGACTTGGTGATTCCTTAGCGATTTTTCTTTATAGAATCACAAATGTCTTCAAAACAGCCAGACTCAAAATACTTGAATGCCACAGTGCAAAGCTTTTAAAGAAATGAAGTTTGGGGTTGGGTTCAAATAAGGTTTAGGGGAGTACAGTCTTCCTAAACTAAACTAAAAGGAAAGTTATCTCTGTCAACCACAAACTAAAGTTTTAGGCTTTGTGAGGCGCCTGGGTGGCTCAGTCGATTAAGCAGCTACCTTCAGCTCACCTCATGATCCCAGGGTCCTGGGATCAAGCCCCGAGTCAGGCTTCCTGCTCAGTGAGGAGCCTGCTTTTCCCTCTCCCACTCCCCCTGCTCATGCTCGCTCGCTCTCATGCTGTCTCAAATAAATAAATAAAATCTTTAAAAAAAAAAAAAAAGTTTTAGGCTTTGACATGCAAGCTGGTAACTGCAGATAGAGGCAACCAAACAAATTAAAGCCTAAACAAATCCAGTATTAATTACCTTGACCTATACATGTAAGGACAATCAACGTTAAAAATGAATATATTTGAATATGTAAGTTTGGGGGCTGTTTTTCTTCAGAAGTGAAGATTATGTGTAGGACTATAAGGATTTAATGAGAGAATGCACATAAAGTACT